AATTGCAAAAGCTGTATTTTTGCTGGACTGCCCCATAAAGAAATCCAAATGTGAATAATTGAGGTATTCTATGGCAAACTGTCCTCACACTCTTCCTGGTTCTTTATAGGAATCCTGAAACTCACATCTGTATGAAGCCACAGAATCACTGTTGAGATTTCCAGCTCTTCCCAATTCTTCCTCTCTCTCACATCCTTGACAACAGCCTTCCTCCCATGCTGACCACGAATTCCAACCTAGGCACTGTATTCTACTTTATTCTTGAATATTTCAGTCCACTGAAAGCCACTCCAATCAGACATAAATACTATCACAATTTCTTCTTCAATTTTTCAAACTACTAGAAAAGAAAGTAAAGTAAACTTTGAGAGCCCAGGGGAGTTCATATTCACAAAATATTGACATCTTGCGGGCACATCTCCCTTTGCTAAGAGGTAACTGATTGAATTTTTTTTCACTTTCTCGTTTCATGTGTTGAAAAAGTATGCATTGTGGTTCAGGGGAAGGAGGCTCAGGTTGCTTATTTCAGGTTCAACATCCTTTTATTCATAAATTAGAGTTTTTTTCCAATTGGATTTTTATTGGCATTTATGTGGCCTACCAGAAATATATCTGGCAAAGTCATAGGCAATAAAGGTGCTATTCTCCATTCTGTGGACTGGTGAAGACAGTAAAAACTGTGGCTGTTGCTATCCATTTTAAAAATATTTTTAAATGTATTAAATAATTATCATGTGAAAAAGTACAGAAAATTATATAGCAGACACCTTTGTATCAGCAATGAGAATAAACAGATAAACAGATGCTTAATTTTGCTATATTTTCTAAAAATATTCCCCCTCTCTCTCTCAAACATTTCAGACAAAGCTGGAACAATACCCCTGTTCCTGTTACTTTTTCAAAGATAGTAACCACTCTTGGGAAGATTTCTTGCGGGTCTTTTAGAATTTAACCTTTGCAGTATGTATTACAAAACAATATGCTGCATTATGTTTGTATTTTGAGATTTCTTATTGATAGTGCCATGCAGTATGTGTCATTCTGCTTTTATGTCAACATTTTATTTGTCAGATTCATCTAAGAAAATATGTATAGGACCACTTATTTGCTTGTAACAGCTAATACTTTCATTGTACGAATAAACCACTATTTTTTCATTCCACGATTGATTATACTTATTTTTAAAGAGTGTTGCAGTAAGCATCCTTGTAAATGCCTCCTAGTTTACGTATTGACTCTCTTGAATATCAGAAATTTGTATTGCTGGATTTTTAAATATGTGTATATTTGTAACTGGTTTAGGCAAATTGTTCTCCTAAGTTCTCTGTGTGGTGTTTTTCTCCTTCTGGAAAATTGCAATAGCTTTATCTCCATATCTTCCTACCAAACTTAATGTTATCAGGCATTTTAGATTTCGTTGATCTAATAGAAATGAAATAATACTTTCTTTTAATTTGATTTCCTTGAATTCTGTGGATGTTGATTTTTTTTTGAGATGAAGTCTCACTCTATCCCCAGGCAGGAGTGCAGTGGAATGATCCCGGTTCAATGCAACTTCCATTTTCCGATTTCCAGCAATTCTCAGCCTCCCGAGTAGCTGGGACTACAGGCACGCGCCACCACACCCAGCTAACTTTTGTAATTTTTTAGTGGAGACGGGGTTTCACCATGTTGGCCAGGATGGTCTTGATCTCTTGACCTTGTGATCCGCCCACCTCTGCCTCCCAAAGTGCTGAGATTACACGCGTGAGCCACTGCGCCTGGCCGGATGTTGACGTTTTATATATTCAGTGGCCATTCCTATTTTTTCTTTTTTAATTGCCTTTTATATCCTTGTCTCTTCTTATTTTGGATGTTTTCTTATTTATTTGTAAGAGTTCCCCATCTAACCTTAATTTCTAAAATCTTATTGGTTATATTACAAATACATCTCAGCATGTGTCTTGTTTTTAATTTTCCAGTGGGTACACATGCAGGTTAAAAAATTCCTTTCTATTACTAACTCTTTAGGGATTTTCATTTCTAATTATCAAATAATTTTAATGGTTATAAATCTACTTTTTAAAAATTTCTTCTTGAGTTACTTTTGGTAGTGTATGTTTTTCATTCAAATTTTTTCTACTTTAAAAGTTTTTAAAATTATTGGCTTAAATTGTACTTAACTTTTTCTGAACTTTTTTTTTTTTTAGTTTCTACTTTGTCTCTAGACATGTCTGCTTTTTAATCTCTCCTGTTACTCAGTTTAGTAGTTTTCTATTATGGCCATGAGAAATTACCACAAACTCAGTGGCTTAAAACAATACAAATGTGTTCTTTTGCAATTATGGACGTTATAAATCCAAAATCATTGGGCTAAAATCAAGGTACAGCAGGTCTGAGTTCCTTCCAGTGGCTATGGGGAATAATCTTTTTTGTTTTTTGTTTGTTTGTTTGTTTTTGCATTTTCCAACTTCAAGTTGTCCTTATTCTCTCATCACATTGCTTTCTTTCATTCTGACTCCACTGCCTCCCTTTTAAGAGATCCTTGTGGTTACATTGGGTCTGCCTGGATAATTGAGGATAAATCTCCTCATTTCAAGATTCTTGAATTAATCACATAAAGTTCCTTTTGCCATATGTTATTTGGTATCGTATCCCCAGAAAATTCATATGTTGAAGTGCTAATCTCTAGAAGCTTAGAATGTGACCTTTTTGGGAAATAGGATCATTGCCGATGTCATTAGTTAAAATGAGGTGCTACTGAAGTAGTGTAGGCCCTTAGCCAAATAAGACTGGTGACTTTATGAAAAGAATGTTACATGAAGACACAGAGACACACACAGAGGAAAGACGATGGGAGGAGACACAGGGAGGACATGACCATCTACAAGCTAAGGGATGCCTGTGACTATTAGATACTTCGAGCGACATCTGAAACAAATCTTCCCTAGCTCCCTCAGAGGAATCACAGCTCTGCAACACCTTGATTTCAGACTTTTGGCCATTGGAACCTGGAAACAGTAGATTTCTGTTGTTCTAAGCCACCTAGTCCACAGTACTTTGTTACTGCAGCCCTACACAACTAATATACCATGTAAAGTAGCATATTCATAGACTCTGGGGATTATGACATGGACATCTTTAGGGACCAGAATTCAGTGTACTGCATTGTTTGACTATTTTCTGTTTTTCCCATTATTAACATTACCAAGTATTTGACTTTTTTCCCCATTATTAACATTACCAAGTTTTTAACTTTTTTATTTCTTCAAATTTATCCAGCATTGGATTTCCCTTAATTGCTTTGTTTTTGTTTCCTATTTGATTAATTTCTCTGCTTATCTTTATTTTTTAATTGAAGTATAGTTTACATAGTGAAATAGATGAGTCATAAATGTGGAGTTAGATGAGTTTTGAAAATTGCAAACAGCCTTGTAAACCACACCTTTATCATGAAATATAACATCTATTTTCCTTTATCTTATTGAAAATTTCTTGTGCCCCACCCAAATAATTCCCACTTACAGATTTAAACACTATTTGGCTTTATTTCACTGTGGATTAATTTATCTACTTTAGAAATTCACATAACAGGAGTCAAGCAGTATGTACCCTTTTGTATTTGGCAATTTTGCTAGGCATTGTGTAATTTAGGCTTATTCATATGTGTATCAGTGGTTCAGGTCATTTTATTGCTGATTAATATTCCATTGAATGTATGTGGCATGATTTATTGATTTAGTCTCTTGTTTACGGACCTTTTCTCATATTTATGGCTATTATGAATAAGACTGCTGCAAACGTTTTTGTACAAGTCTTTGTGTTGACATGCTTTTATTTTTCTTGGGTAAATGCCCAGATGTGATGTCACAGGGTCATGGTAGAAATGCATTTAGTTTTATGAAAATCCGCCAAAGTGGTTGTCCAGTTTCTGTTCCAACCATGTTCCAAAATTCCACCTTCTAAAATTTTATATTCCAAAAAATTTTAAATGTAACGTTTGTTTTAAAATCTTTTTTTCCACATCCTTACTTTAAAAAAATTTATTTATTATACTTTAAGTTCTGGGGTACATGTGCAGATCGCGCAGGTTTTGTTACAAAGGTATACACATGCCATGGTAGTCGTTTGCTGCATCCATCACCCCGTCATCTACATTAGGTATTTCTCCTAAAGCTATCCCTCCCCAATCCCCCCACCCTCTGCTATTCCTCCCCTAGCCCCCTACCCCTCAGGCCGCAGTGTGTGATGTTCCCCTCCCTGTGTCCATGTGTTCTCATTGTTCAACACCCACTTATGAGTGAGAATGTGTGGTGTTTGGTTTTCTATTTTAAAATAGTTTCAGACACACATAGAAGTTGCAAAAATGACACAGAGTTCTCTTTCACATTTCACCCAGCTTTCTCTAATAACATGTTATATAACCATAGTTGTGTACCATTATCATTATGTACTAGTATCAAAACCAGAAAACTGATTTTGATACAATAGTATTTATTAAACTGCAGATCTTATTCTGATTCACCCATTTTTATATTCACTTTTTTTTTAGATATATACTTCAGTGACATTTTATCATATGTATAGATTTCCCTACCCACAACTACAATTAGGATACAGAACTGTTCCATCCATCACCCTGAAGAAATTCCCTGTATACCCACTTCCCACCCATAACCCTAGGCAACCACTGTCCTGTAATTTTTACATATTGATAGTGTTATATAAATGAAATCACACATTTTGTAGACTTTGAGATTGACTTTTTTTCATTCAACACAATGCCCTTGAGATTCATCAAAGTTGTTGCATGCATCAATAGTTCATTCATTTTTATTGATGAATAATATTCCCTTGTGTAGATATGTACCACAGTATATCTATCGACTCAATGAAGTGTAAAGTTTCTGAGATCCATCATGTGTTACCTATATCACTAGCTTATTGCATTTTATTGCTCTGTAGCATCCCATTATAAGAATACACCACAATTTATTTTTCTATTCCCCAGTTAATGGACATTTGGGTTGTTTCCTGCTTGGGGTTATTATGGTTAAAATTGCTGTAAACAAAAGTCCTTGTGCGAAGATATATTTTCATTTATTGTAGATAAATACTTAAGAGTGGAATTTCTGGTCCTATGTTAAGAGCAATTTATAAGAAACTGCCAAATGATTTTCCAGTGTCGTAATATTGATTTGCATCCCATCAGCAAGGCATAAAAGTCTCAGTTGCCCCACAACTGGTTGGATGCTTATAACAATTTCAAATATTTTAACTGTAATAAAAAATTAGTTTTAGATAGTCATTTATTAAGAGAAGTTTCTTTCATTTAATTACAACTCTCATACTACCACACTAGTGTTTATACATTTATTCATCTACTTGTGTGTGCAAATGAAAACTAGTCTACATCTCTGCCCACATAAGCCCCCACTGTGGGGTTTGGCTGGAGCCTCAACTGCAGGTTTGGGTACAGGCTGCAGGTGCCTGGGGAGGACTGTGTGCTTGCTGCACAGAAGTAGGTGGCTGAGTCTCCAGGCTGGGAAGCCATGATATGCAGAGAGAAGTGTTTGGCACTTTTATTGAAGAAGAGTTTGAATCTTCCTTCTTCTTTTACAATCATACCTGACCGGATGGCTATCAATAATGCAGGGCTTTTCCCAGGGAATTGTCGGTACCATGGAAAGTAATCAAATGCACTGTTCTCATAAGTACAGTTCATAACTGAAATGTCTCCTTTCTGGACAATCAAAGATTGAGGACTTTGTTTCACCTGCTGGTCACTTTTCTCCTTCTGTTGGCCACTCACCCCTGCATAGAGAGATAACAAAATGTCATTAGACCCCCAAAATAGTATTTTCTTCTTAAAGTTTCTACCTTCATGAGTTTGTCTGTACCCTAAATTTCTCATTCACTCAAGTGAGTAACATATCCTGGAGTTTCTCCTCCACAACTCACAGCATAGTTGAAGCCACAGAATTAAAAATGATCCTCCTAAGATCTTGTCCATTCCTCCTGAAACCAGAGCTCAGTGACAGCCCAGGTAGTCTTCTGGTCTTCCCAACCAGCTGAACCTCTGACTATAAATTCACACTCAACTGAATCCTTTCAACAGGCCCCGCCCTTTCACAAGTGCTTTCACTTAAAGATATGTCTGCCAAAGGAAGCACTTCCCCACTTTGTCCAAATTTAGAATTGCTGAAAATACATTCATTGGGAATCAGTAATCCCCTTTCCACACAGATAAGGATCAGTTTAGAATTTTTGCAGCTCAAGCCCCCACACTTTTCTTCATATCTTTCAGAATATTAAAATAATAAATAATATTTTAATATTCTAATAATTTGATAGGTAGTTGAATCATGGAGGCAGGTCTTTCCCTTGCTATTCTCATGATAGTGTATAAGGCTCATGAGATCTGATGAGTTTATAAAGGGGAATTTCCCTGAAAATTGGGGTACAGACAAACTCATGAAGGTAGAAACTTTAAGAAGAAAATATTATTTTGGGGCCTAATGACATTTTGTTATCACTCTAAGCAGGGGTGAATGGCCAACAGAAGGAGAAAAGTGACCAGTAGCAGGTGAAACAAAGTCTATTGACATATCTAGCTATCCTACTATATGATTTTTATTATTTTAGATTATTAAATCATTATAAATCATTATTAATGATTTAATATTTTAGAATATTAAAATATTTTACAATGGTGGAAGAGGGGAACTCCTGTGAAACCACAAGATTAACATGTACAGTGGCATTTCTTTTTTATTATGAATATTAAAAAGTTTGTTGAGGGCACACAATGGGCATAATATCATATTACAAGCTAAGGTCATGGATCAGAACGTAGAGAATATGTGGTCCCTTTGTCCTCAGAGAACTTAAATTTTATTACAATTTTTCAGATGTATTCATTCCATGTTTTACATGATCCTCAGAAATGACAGAATATAATTAAGTCAAGTTTATTTTTTCTCCATATGTTTTCTAAATTTCAAATTAGGTAAATTAAATATTTTTAAAATATACATAAAGAAATTAGGAAATACTGGAATTATCTATCCTAGAGGAGCTGTGATCTTTAAACGTGTAAGAGAGGATAGAAAAATTCTGCAGAATTCAGAAGGTATAGAGCTATAATCACCCAGTAATGCAGTCATTTTTGGTGGCTCTTATCCTGAGTTTGAATAAAATTTGATATTTTCTTCACACTTTATAATGGGTCAACTATGAAAATATGAGGAATCAGTTTAACTTTGATGTTAACACAGCAGGATACACAGGCAGAAATTGAAGATAAATTCTAAAGAAGCCCTAAAATAGGGATCATCTGTGTTATAAATCATAGAAGTTAAAATAACATGAGAAGTACGTTTTTTTCAGAAGTACAAAAAGGATTTTGTTGGATCTATGTTTGACATCATCCCAAATTCACTTGAGAAAACACCATACCAGTCCAACAGGAGACAGTAGTCCACATTCCTCAATCTAGAATCCAATCCTTTTCTTCTCCAGTACCCTAAGGTACTTTTTAGAAGTTGTTTAAGTTTTGATGTGCTTTCTTTTCATTTTCATTTATGTATGCATATCTTCAATACATATATACTGAGTGCTTACTAAGTGCCTACTAAATTAGGCTGTACTTGCATCTCATTTCGTTCATGAAAGAGCCTCAGTCCCAGTCTTCAGTCAGCCTAGTCCCAATATTCAGGTATCAGCCAATGATACCTGACAAAGACTCCAGTATGTCTAGATAATGTGACGAAGGAAAGAGTGATAAAATCTGCTTCTGTGCACAGTCAAAGAAGAGTATAGATGGGGAAGATGCTTGAACTGGGCCTTAAACCATGATAGATTTCCCCATGAAAAGAATAAATAAGGGAATTTTTTTTCCCATCTATTTATTTTATTGCATTTTAGGTTTTGGGGTACATGTGAAGAACATGCAAGATTGTTGCATAGGTACACACGTGGCAGTGTGATTTGCTGCCTTCCTCCCCATCACCTACATCTGGCATCTCTCCCCTTGCTATCTCTCCCCAGCCCCCCACCCCCCACCGTCCCTCCCCTATTTCCCCCCAACTGACCCCAGTGTGTAATGCTCCCCTCCCTGTGTCCAAGGGCTGATATCCAGAATTTACAAAGAACTAAAACAGATTTACAAGAAATAAGGGAATTTTAGGCACAGATTAGTGTGGCTGGAGATTGAGCTGTATATGGGTGAAAATGTTATAAAATTATACTAGAAAAGTTAATTGAAGGATAACATGTAAAATTCAAAAAAGTGTTGATTTCCAAAGTTGTATTTTCCACTCTGTTAGGCTAGAATAAACACAGATACTTCTCAGGTAGATGAACGGATAAATACACAAATACATTGAATGAAACAGATATGCAAATTGAAACAGAGCAAGAGATAATTTACTAGATTTTGAAAGGATTATCTCTGGCTACCTACTGAATATGTATATTTGGACAAATGTTAATCTTTTTTGAAGAAGCATTGCCCCTTTGTGGCTATATAGGGAGTTTACACAAAACAATTTCCTACAGCTGCTTAAAACTGTTCAGTAATCCCTACATCTATCAGAATACTGAAATAAGTGGCTGAATCTTCCTCTTGAGCCAATGATTTCTTCAGATGAAAGGAGATTTTGCCCTTGCTGAGGTCAGGTATATCTCAGGAGGATCTGGAGGAACTGATTGGGATGCTGAAGGTACCAGGAGAGAACAGGGCTACTGAAACAGTGACACCACAACTGCTCTGGGGTTCCTTCAGAGGTGGAAATTAGCCGTCACTGCATGGTATCTCCTTTGCCGCATAATAGCAATGTCGGATCAGGGAGAAGTCTTCACACTAAAGAGAATATGTCCTTAAATAGACCTAAATTAGATAATTATACTTCATCTTTATCAATACTTGGTATAGTAGCCATCTTTTTATTTTTAGCCAACATAGTGGCTACATAGTAGCATATATATACATAAATATATACATATGTGTGTGTGTGTGTATATATATATATACACATATGTGCTACTATGTAGCCACTACGTACATATATACATATATATATATATATATATATATATATACACATATAGTGGCTACTATACACCCACTATGCTATAGTGGCTACATATCTTATTGCAGTATTAGCTTGCACTTCCCTGATTATTAATGACACAAGAGTCAGGAAACCTTTTCCATAAAGGGTCGAATAGTAAATATTTTCAGCCTTGCAGGTGATTTAGTCTCAGTGGCAACTGCTCAGTTCTGCCATGGCAGCATGAAAGAGGCCATTGGTAACATATTTTTTAAAAATCCAAGCATGGCTGTATTTAAATAAATCTTTATGAAAATAGGTGGATGGCTGAATTTGGCTCATAGGCCATATTTTGTTGACTCCTGATGTAGAACATATTTTCATATGCTTATTGGTCATTTTTATATTTTATTGTAAAGATTCTGCTAAAGTATTTTGTTAATTCTTAAGTTGGGTCATTCGTTCTCTTTTATTGAAGTGTAAGAGTTTTTACATATGCTGAACACAAGACTTTTGAATAATTTATGTTTCAAATAGTTTCTTCTAGTCAATAGCTTGTCTTTTTGTTTTCTTAAAGATGTCCATGACCGCTGCACTGAAAAGTCCAAAAACAATGCTGACAAAAATTAAAGAACCTTAATAAATGGAAAGATATGTCATGTTCATAAATCAGCAGATTTAATAGCCCTGCCAACACTTTGACTGTAGCCCTGTAAAACTGGTTTCAGAGTTCTTTCCTCCAGAACTGTAAGAGGATAAATTTATTTTGTTTTAAGCCACCAAGTTTGCAGTAATTTGTTAGAGCAGCTTTATTAGTTTGCTAGAGCTATAACAAAGTACCACAAGTTAAGTGGCTTAAACAATAGGAACTTACTGTCTCACATTTCTGTAGAGTAGAAGTTTAGAGAGAGACTCCCTGTGAGGGCTGTAAGAATCTATTCCATTTCTCTTGCCCAGGTTCTCATGGTTTTCTGGCAATCTTTAGCATCCTTTGGCTTGTTGAAGTACCACCCTGATCTCTGCCTTCATCTTTAAATGCTGTTCTCCTTCTGTGTGTATGTGTATCCCAGCACCTAAACCCATTTAGATTAAGTAAACTTACTGAGGCTCTAGAAGAAGGTCTTCAGGACTCAGACCTTAGTTATAGATTAAAAGAAGTTAATCACTTATGTCTTTAAATGAATGCACACTTACACATAGACATATAGCTTAAGAGGTATATAAAACTCTGAAAAACTTTGTAATTTTGAGTTGGTCTGGCAATAATTTCCAGGCCATCTCGCTGTAATTGGATACAGAAATAAAAGCTCTCTTCTTCCCCAGTTCATCTGAATCTCGTTATTCAGCCATGTAAAATAGCAGCCCAAACCTCAATTTGGTCCGGGAACACAAGGACAGGAGAAACAGAAGGAAGCATCCAGTATGGGAAAAAGTAGGCAGCCAGAAGCCTCGCAAGCAAGGTAATCCCACCTTCTTTCGCCTGCTTTGTTCTCATTGGGCTGGCAGCCTATCGGATGGTGCCCACCCATACAGAGTGTGGGTCTTCCTCTCCCAGTTCACTGATTCAAATGTCAGTCTCCTCTGGCAACACCCTCACAGACACACCCAGAGACAATGCATCCTTCAATCCAATCAAGTTAATGCCTAATATTAACCATCACAATTAGGGTCCATTCTAATCCTTTATCTTAACTAATGACATCTTTAATGACCCTATTTTCAATTAGGGCCACATTCTGAGGTACTGAGAGTTAAGATTTCATCTTGAATTTTGAGAGACACAATTCAACCTATAAGAGCAGCCATAGAAAACTAATACAATATGTTGTCTAAAGTGCCTAGTTTTTAACAAAAATTTATAAAATATGCCCCAAACAGGAAATTGTGATTTTTACTTTACAATAAATTGGGTAACAGGAACTGCCTTTTTTATTTTTTGTTTTTATTTTTTTTACTTACAATAAATTGGGTATTGGCAACTGCCTTTTCTATTACTTAGATGTTGAATTTCACAGATGAAAATTTCAAAATTGCTGTTTTAAGTATGCTCAAAGAAATAAAATCATGCTTAGGAAAATAAAAAAGATATGATGATGACTTCTTACCA